GCCCACTTTCCCCTCTCCCCCACCCCCCCCTCCACCCTCAGTGAAAAATGAATTCAAATTAAGCTTTCTTTTCCTCAGGAAATCCTATCACCTGACAGACATTTTATTCACAAACTAAAACACTTCTTTTTCATTTTGGAAACATGACTTATGCACTAGTCCATGCCTGCTTTATAGACCTATCGAACCTATAATACGATGGCTTTTGTTGGATTAGGAACACACACAGGGGCGCTGGGTGGCTCAGTCGGTTGAGCATCCGACTTTGGCTCAGGTCATGATTTCATGGTTCGTGGGTTCGAGCTCCACGTCGGGTTCTGTGCTGACAGCTCGGAGCCTGGAGCCTGCTTCGGATTCTGTGTCTCCTCTCTCTCTCTCCCCGTCCCCCGCTCACGCTCTGTCTCTCTCTCTCAAAAATAATAAATATTAAAAAAAAATTTTTTTTTAAAAAGGAACACATACACATCACCTCAGCAGAGTATAGGGAGCTTGCATGGTGGTGAACAGAATAGCCTAGCTGTGGAATCAAAGGCCCACGCAGATCCCAGCTTCGTCCTTCACTAGCTGCGGGACACTTACAACTACTCACTTAACCTCTCCGAGTCTCGCAACTTCATCTGTAAGGCGGGTTAGTAAACAGCATCTGGAGGCAGGGCTATCACAAATCCAGCCCCAGAACACGCCTGGCACAGAGGAGGCGCTCCAGGAACCATGGGGGTTGCTGACATAAAGTCCACATCATCACCTCTCACTCCTGGGACGCAGTCTAGGAAACGGCAAACACAACTTCTCCCGTTAACTATGTGGGACAGGGAGGCCCAAATGTGAAATGACTTGCCCGTGGTCTAGGCCACGGGATCTCCTTATGGTAATGGGGCCACCGCAGGAAGAAGTTTCCAGGAGCCCTGCTGGAGGCGCCGCACGCTGGAGCCCAGTCCCTTCCATGTGTTTTGCTTTTCACTAAGCAGTGTGATTCCTCCAGACCCCCTCCCGCAGGGAGGCTTTGGATGCTGTTTCCAAAGGGCCAGGCCTCAGGGCGGGCCACGCAGGGGAAAGGCCCGAGCTCACAGACGAGGCTCAGAAATTCCATGCAGCAACGTTACTCTAAGACTCGTAGAGGCCTCCTGAGCGTCCTTTCTTCTTTACCTCAACGAAAATATAACTTTTAGAAAACACAATTGGCTTTGCAAGAGGAATGCATGGAGATGGAAAGAAAACCGAGATTATGAACAAAATTCTACAGTGACAGGGACATCACAATCTAGCAACGGGACACATTTGTTGTCAGCATTTATGAAAAGGTTCTTGTTCTACATGTTTCAAGAGGGTTTTGTAACAT